TTGTACACACGCACGCTCGCTTGTATATCTACATTGTACACACGCACGCTCGCTTGTCCATCCATGTACACGACGTTTGATCGATCAGTTCTTGGACATGCCTCCGAAAACGACCCGGGTTGAAATGACACGGGTCGTTTTCGTAGCGAGAAAACGTCCGTGTGAACGCTTGGCTCGGAACGCATTTGACACGGGTCGTTTCGCGCCGTGTGAACGCGGCTATAGTAATAGTATGCTACACTGGCTGGCTGCGCATGAGAGATATGATCTTGCTGATCTGAATGGGTTAAGACACTCGGTGGTGTAAAAAAACACTTGTTGTTTGTTTGCGTTGGCCACGCTAGGCGAGACGCGCCGCGGCTTCCGTTACCCCTGTTCTTCCCCCTTCATTTTTTTGGTTGGGATGCTTTTTAATTCTCTGCTACGGCAGCTGTTATGAAGGCTGTCGCTGGGGAGTGAAAGAGGAGCCGTAGCCTAGCACTTGGCCTGGGTGTCTGTGCGAGTAAACACAGGGAGCGCGCTCGAACAACAGTTACCATAGTAAGCTGTGCTGGGCTGACGTTTAAACGTTATTTGCTCGCTCTCCTTTTATTTATTTTTTATTTTTGTTTCTCCTTTCTGTCTCTCACTTTCTCTCTCTCTCTCTCTCTTCCTCTCTCGTTTCTCTCACTTCTCTCTCGTCTCCTCTCGGGTCTCTCCCTCCTCTCCTCTTCTTCTTCTCTGCGTCTCTCGCTCTCGCCTGCTCCAACCCTCTCTCTCTCTTTTCTTGCTATGCTGCTGGCTGGCAGTTTCTCGTCTTCTTTCTTGGCTTTTCCTCGTCTCTCCGGCTTTACTATCTTTCGTGGCTTTCTAATCTCATCTCCCCTCTCGCCTCTCCTCTTCACCTCTCCCTCTTCCCCTCTCCCCTCTGTCCCTTTCCCATCTCCTCTCACCTCTCTTCTCTTCGCCCTCTCCTGCTCGCACCTCCTCTATTCCTTCTCTCTCTCTCTCTCTCTGTTTCTCTCCATTTTCTCCTCTGCCGCACACATTCTTTGTCCGTCACATCGCACACCACTTCCCCCCGCTATCTACGCGGTTCATGTCGCGCGTGTCACGCTCTCTC